TATATATATATATGACAGGGTTTCATGAAGCCTACAATGACCTGAAACTCTCTAACTCTTGAGAATTTGAACTCTTGATCCTTCTGCCTCTACCTCCCAAGTGCTGGGGTTACAGGTATATGCCAACGTATCTGGTTTATGCAGTGTGAGGACTGAAACCAGGGCTTTGTGCATACTAGGCACGCACTCTATCAACTGAGTTATCCTTTCATGATTTTTGTTGTTCTTGTTTTTCTTTTTTGTCTTTATTGCTCTGTATTTTAAAAGGCAAAATAAGCAGCCTTTAAACATGATGATTTAGTGGTATGTCTGGAGGGGGACATAGCAAACCCATATGGGTGGTTGGCCCCAGTGGGGGCAGCTCTAGGAGCATAATTTTTTGCCTCCATGACTGGCCGTAAAGGCCATAGTTTGAATATTTTATGGCCTTTATGTATTATTAATTAAAGGAAGAAAGGAGGGGGAGGGAGAGGGAGGGAGGAGAGAAGAGAGAGAGGGAGAGAGGAAGAGAAAGAATGAGAGACCGAGAGAGAGACTCCAGGAGGCTTACCAGGCTTACCCAACATAACCCAGTGCCCAAGACCCTCTGGAAAGTTACCATGCAGAGCTCTGTCCTTGCACCCAGGGTAAGCAGGCACAGCTCCCTGGCAGGATGCTTCTTTCCTGTCTCTTCAGGTCCAGATTAAGGAAGAGTCACGCCTGGTGTCCATCATTGACCAGATTGACAAGGCTGTGGCCATCATCCCCCGAGGTGCCCTCTTCAAGACCCCTTTTGGAGTTACCAGTGTCAATCGCACTTTTGAAGGTGAGTTCTCTATGGATCCTCTCAGAGCAGGAAGTGCCTTGTCTTGGATTTGGTTGGATATGTCTGGGAGACCAGGGACATTTGCCCTCTTTGGAGAAGAGTGGCTGTGTCCACATCACCTGGCAGGATGGGGCTCCTGGTCTGCTTCTGTTGGTTAGTGCCCTAGGAAAGGGTTTATTTGGTTTACAATCCCAGGCTCCAGTCTATGAGCAGGGAAGTCACAAACAGGAGCTTGAAGCTGCTGCTCACATCACATCCACAGTCAAGAGCAGAGACAAACACAGGCATGCTCACTTGCTTGCTTATGCTCAGCTAGCCTTCTTCTCACTTCTCACATAGTTAGCCCCCTGCCTAAGGAATGGTGCCACCCACAGTGGGCTGGGTCTTCTTATATCACTCAACAATCAAGACAATCCCTTACAGACAAGCCCATAGGTCATCCTGATCTAGATAGATTCTAGGTTGTTTCAGATTGACAGTTTAATTAACCAGCACAGTTGGCACAGGTTACCCAGTCCCTTTACTCTGAGGGGCCAAAATGCATATGGTGGCCTGGGCTTTCCTGGGTCAGGGGTACCTGCCTCTTGCCACCTTCCTCTCTTTGCTCTTTAAAAAAAAATTTTTTTTTATTAGGGTGTGGTGGTACATGCCTTTAATCCCAGCACTCCGGAGGCAGAGGCAGGTGGATCTTGTGAGTTCAAGGCCAGCCTGGTCTACATAGTGAGTTCCAGGACAGCTGGGACTGCAGGGAGACCCTGTCTCAAAAAGACCAAAAAAATTTTTTGTTAATTTATTTTTACTTTATGTGTATGCGTATATTGCCTGCATGTAGGTAAGTGCACCCATGTCCTGCCATGCCTGTGGAGGTCAGAAGAGGCTGTCAGATCCCTCGGGACTGGAGTTACAGATAACCGTTAGCCATGTGGGTGCTGGGATTCAAATCTGGGTCTCCTGCAAGAACAACCAGTGTTCTTAACTGCTGAGCCATCTCTCCAGCCCCATCTTTGCTCTTCTTATTGCAGTGGACAGAGGGAATGCTGTTCCTTTTTCTCACTTATCTGTCTGTGGCTGACTGAGCCCTTTGTAGATGTCTCCCAGTGATGGAAATGCAGGGGGAGAGGGGCCCTGGGCATTGGGCTCACTGTCCTCCCTGCCTGCCTCCTTTCTAGGCCTGACCTTGTCTGAGATCAGGAAGCTCAGCTCCTACTTCCACTTCAGGGAGGCCATTGACCTGAAGAACAAGACCTTGCTTGAGAAGGCCAACCTGGACCCCTCCCTGGATTTCATGGACTCCCTGGAGTATGACATCCCCAAAGGTAACAGACCATTAACTTGAGGACATGGAATCGGTCTTCAGGTCAGAGCAGTGGGTCAGCCTGCCTGCCCTCCAAGGCTGGGAAGGAGAGCCTGGGCAGGCATTGGTGGCTCACCCTGAGCCTTGAGGGTAGGGCTTCTCAGACTATTGTCTCAGCACTCAGTCACTGTTGTCCAGTGACAGGAGGTGAATTACTTTCTGTAAGCTTTTATGGATGCAGAGTATTGTACTGTCCCATGAGTTTTTGTGCAGTCCCTTTAAAAAAAATTTCCTTTTAAATGCATTTCTGATGTCTACTTCAGCCAATTTTCTTTCTTCTTGAGACAGGGTTTCCCTGTAGCCCCAGCTGGTCTGGAACTCGCTATGTAGACCAGGCTGGCTTTGATCTCACAGAGATCTGCCTGTTTCTGCCTCTCAAATGCTGAGATTAAAGGTATGTACCACTATGTCTGGCACTTGTATTTTGTTTTGTTTGGTCTTTTTGAGACAGGTCTTCCTGTAGCTCCAGCTGGCCTGGAATTCGCTACGTAGATTAGGCTGGCCTTGATCTCACAGGCATTCACCTGCCTCTGCATGTGCCACCATGCCCAGCAAAATTTATTTTTTGTGTATACGAGTTTTGCCTGCATGTATGTTAAGTGCATCCCTGCATTAGGTGCCTACAGATCCCCTGGAAGTGGAGTTTCAGATGGTTGCTATCTGCCATGTGGGTGCTGGGAATCGAACCCAGGTCCTCTGCAATAGCAGCCAGTGCTCTTAATCACTGAGCCACCTTTCCAGACCCCCATATGAGATTTTTTTTATAGTCTTCAAACCAACAACTTCAGAGGCTGGTGGTTTCTGGCAGGGCTACCAGGAGCTGATTCCTTTCCTTGATCGTTACCATAAAGAAAAGTGTGTCTAGCATGTTGCAGACGTCCAACATAGGTGTCAGACTGTAGGCCTTTAGGGACCAGACCCACAACTAACTCAGAACCCTTCTTCCTTTCCCATATTTGATGATTCTGAGAAATATGATGATGATGATGGTGGTGATGGTGGTGGCGATGGTGGTGGCGATGATGACGACATTAATGCAGATATTGTACAACACAGGTGTACTGACATATATGCAGCCAAAACACTCATACACATAAAAGTAAATTAAAAAGCCAGGTGTAGTGGCACACGCAAAAAGAGAAAAAGTCATAGAGGTGATTTGAGGCAGGCCTATCTAGGAGTGCCTGGAAGGCTTCATTGGTAGATGCTTCTGGTGACTTGAGGGCAGGTCTGTGATCATAATGCAATGTGCACAGGTAGACAAAGAAGGGGCAAGTCTCAGGCCACTGCAGTGCTGGGGGGCTAATGATGACACCGAGCAGCTGGCCTTCACCACAAGGGGGCGCCTGAGTCAAGCCACCTTGAGCACAGGCCAGTCTAACAGTGGTAATAGGAGGGTACTGGGACCAGTAGGGGAGGGAAGGAAAATGAATAAGGCTGTGTGGTTCTCAACTCATACCCCAGCTCTGATTTCCTCTCAGACTCTGGAAGACCAGAATGAGCTCCTGAGTAGGGGTAGGAGGGGGGTTCTTTAGCCTGGCAGATGGCAAGGGTGATGGGCTGGGCTGTTGAGTGGGGCCAAGACCCCTGCAGGAGTCCCCTGGAACACCAAACTGGCTAGGAGGGTGGTGTTTCAGCTCTTTCTGCCTAGGTAGGAGCATTCTTTCTGGGTCCCAGGCAATTGTTCAGGATGACTTTGTGTCACTTCTGAGCAGGTGTGGTGGGGGTGGACTTTCCCAGGGCCTCCCATACTTTGTGTCCACAGAGATAGGCCTGGACCTCACAGCTTGTCCCTGGGATAGTCTTGGCCAAAGAGAAGAGGGGGAGGAATGTTGCCTGGGGCCATGATGTCATCATGAGCTGTCATGCCATGCCCTGGGATCTGTAATTTTGTGGGAGTGGATCCCTGGCAGGACCATCCTCCTGGTGGATATAGGGCAATGGCTGAGACTTCTCTGATCTTGGACTCACAGTGGAAGACTGGTGGAGCACTGGGTCAGGCAGCCAGAGTGTGCAGCCATATTCTGCCATTCAATACTACATAACCTTTTACTCTGTCAACAAATGGTCATGGAACAGCTGCTGTGTGCCAAGCACTGTTCGTGCCCTTGGAAACAAGACAGATACCCCCTCTGTGTCAGGGAAGTTTAGGGAGAGCAACTGAGATAGGCTGGGAATCAGAAATTTAGACTAGAAGATGTCAGTCAGGAGTGCAGAGAGCAGGCAGAGGAAGTGGCAGAGAGGGCTGGGGCCCAGTGTCTCTCCTTGCCCCACTCTGAGCTGCTGTGGAGTTAGGTAGGGCCAGGTGCAGGCTGCGGCTCCATTACTGAAAACTCTCAATTGTAATGTCTAGTTTGGACAGCAGAGGGCAGCAACGGGCCTGCCGCCTGGAACCGGGCCTAGGAAAGCTGCTCTAAAGGTGGTGGATGGGGGTAGGGGACTACAAGATAGGATGAGATATCGGGCATTGGAGAGAGCAGGCAACATGGTGTTAGCATCAGCCTTATAGGTGTGCTCTTGTCTAAGTCCTTTGGAAGCCTAGCGGACCGGGGGCCCTGCCACCCATCACTTGAGGCTGGCATCAGAGCGTCTCTCTTCTTCCTCCATCCCCAGGCCTCTAGCAGGGTTGATTCTACCTTATGGTAAGGGGGGACAGTAACTCCCCCCATCAAGAAGCTGTGGCCAATATTCTGTGACAGAGTTTGGAGTCTGAGGTGAGACTGAGGAGAGGTGTAGGCCGCTTGCTACCCCTGAACAGTCTGACTCCAGCTGGCCCATGCTCTCCCTTGCTATTAGTCTCTGGGCTTGGCAATCTTTCTTCCTGGGTGGCAGGAAGATGCAAAGGTCACACTCCACCCCCCTCCCAGCCTGAGGTGGGTGAGATCCCAGGGTTGGGAGACCCAGAGGCACTTCTGGCCCAGACCAACTGCTGAATTCAGGGCTGAGTCTCCCATAGGTGGACCGGAAGTCAGGTCTGAGGAGACTTGGAAGAGAACTAGAGCTGTAAACTGCCAGGTCAGGCTACTGCCTGCCTTAGAAGGGCAACTGTAGCTGGCTGGGCCTGGCTTTTTCCACATTTGCACTAAGACAGTAGTGGTAAAGGTGACAGTGAGTTCTTGGCTCATCAGGTAGATGCTACGTGACTCCTGACACATTGACTGTGTGTCCTGGATGACCAGCTGAGCCAAGGATGATGAGAGGACAGGAGCGTGCCAGGAATGTGAGGGAAGGAGGGAGGCTGGCCTCTGGCATGCTGTAACTCGGCCAGCACCCTTCTGCCTGCTTGGCACTACCCTCTTAGGAATTGTGTATTTCTCTAACTACCTGCAGTTTCCCCTTGCTGTCTGAGAGCTCCTGCTGCTGGGTCTAGGCCACTTATCCAAGTCCTATTCCTCATACTGGAAACAAGAGATGGCCAGAGAGGCTGGTGTGAGGGACCCTTTACCACCATGTGGTTGACTGAATTGATGGGAGTCTGACTGTGGTGGGGGTGGGGGTGGACTCCAGCCTCCATATTCTCCAGGATAGCCCTTTGCCCAGGGAAGCTGCAAGCTGGCCTTCCTGGGTGGGCAGAGCTATCAGTCTAGTCTTGCTTAAGTCAAGGAGACTATATGACTGTGGGCTCCAAGGGCAGGGAAGGACCAGGTCTCTGTAGGAAGCTGCCCAGATGATGCTCTGGGCCCTCCTGGTGGGGTGCTAAGGCTAGGGAGTGCTACCTTTTTGGACCTGTCTGTTGCCAATGACCAAACACAGTAGACTGGGGATACTTTGTCATACCCTATCCTCATCTCCTCCAGGCAGTGTTTTCTGGTGACATGTGACCCAAGAAAGCCACCAAGGTTCTCAGGTGCCCAGAGAAACACCCTCAGCCTGAGGCAGTACTTAAGCCTGGCCCTATGACACAGGCTGAGGAGATTCCTTTTCCATGATGTCTGGCAGGCATTGTGGCTTAGGCAGTGAGCCCAGGGTCTCCACTTCATTGTGCTATGCATGGATGGTGGCACTTGGTGTCAGCCACAGCAGTGCTGGGGTGTGAGCGCTGAGGGCCAGAGGCAGTAGACCTCCATGTTTCCAGAAAGCTCTGGTTTGACCTGGGCAGGCAGCTAGCTACTCACTGAGCAGGGCTGAGCGGCTGTCAAGTTCAGGCCTTTTGGATGCAGGGTGGCCCCCAGTGGGTGGGGACTAAGTTGTGAGGCTGTTGGGTGTGGAGTGACCAGGGTGGGTCATGGTTGGTGGTGGGCTGTGGGAGGCTAGGGAGGTGGGAGCCAGCACCGGGGCTGGGCTGGCAACTGATGAAGGCCTCAGAACAGCCCTCAGAGCAGGGCTCGTTGGTTCAGCACCAAAACCTTCAAAGCATTGGCCTTCCTGGCAGGGCCCAGAGCAGGGCTGTGGCTGGTTCAGGGGAGAGGCCTCGAGATGCGCAGGGGAATAGAAGCCCCAGATCTACATCCAGAGGCGATTTTCCCAGGCTCCTTCCTCCCACACAGAGACTCCCTCCCTTGGATCTGGAGCTGGATCAGGGCCTTCTAGCCAAGTCCTCCTGGCTGCTCTACTCAGCCTGGTTTGAGCTGCTCCTGTCTGGAGTAGCAAAAAACCAGGGTAGAATTAGTAGCTGAAGTCCCCTCCCACTAAGCATGGCTCCATCTACCAGCAGTCAAGAAGACCCCTGAGCTAGGCCTGGAATAGCCAGACTACAGTTTGAGCCAGTGCTTGGTCCCATCCATCTGGGAACAGAGGCTCCAGGTCACAGGGATCCCCACTGTCCTGTCTCCTCAGCCCTGGCTTGTAGTTTCAGTTCTTCTTTCTGGAAGCATTGTGATGAGCAGCTGGTATGGCATCAGGAGCCTCGATTAGTTCACCTTCTTTTGCAGTGGCTTCAGCCCTAGGCTTGGCCACTCAAGAACAGCACCTCTGCCCAGGTGGCAGGGCTCTGGCTCTGTAGCCCCAGGTCTCACCTCCTGTCTGTCCCTCCTCCAGGATCGTGGAGCATCCAGATGGAGAGGGGCAATACCCTGGTGGTGCTGCGAAGCCTGCTATGGCCAGGCCTTACTTTCTACCACGCGCCCCGAACCAAAAACTACGGCTACATCTATGTGGGCACTGGGGAGAAGAACCTGGACTTGCCCTTCATGCTGTAGAGGGGAGAGCCTAGGTATTTGCTATAAAGAGTTGGAACACTATTTTCATAAAGCTCAACAAATTTGGCCTATTTGTTTATGATTTCCATCATTTTATCTTCCATCTAGTGCCCAGGCTCTGAGTGGCCCGCTGAGCCAGGAAAAGCTCTTTTTTTTTTTTTGTCTTTTTGAGACAGGGTCTCCCTGTAGCTCCAGCTGTCCTGGAACTCACTATCTAGACCCGGCTGGCCTTGAACTCACAGAGATCCGCCTGCCTCTGCCTCTGCTGGAATTAAAGGCGTGCGCCACCACACCTGGCCTGGAAAAGCTATTTCTAAACAAGTGGCAGAGACCTGGAATGTGTGAATGAAGGAGACACTAAGGAATGAGGGGTGGAAAGTGGTGGGAGGGGATGGTCAGAGGCCTGCTGGAGGCAGCACTTTCTGAACTCAAGTGAAGGCTACCTTGGGGTGAACCTCCCAGCTGAGGGGCTGACACCTGTCGGCAGAGGATGAGGACCTGTGCGGCACATGAACCCATTCCAGTCATTCACGTGGCCCATCTGTAGGTGAGTGGCTCCATGCTCAGCAACTGGCTGGACAGGGGAGCAGGACCCCACATTTCTAAGCAGTGACCACATGGAGAAGCCCAAAAGCTTGCTTTATTATGTTTCTTCAGGTAAAACTGCCCCAGTACCAATCTCAGCCCAAGCCAGTCAAGAGACCACAGCAGTAGCCAGGAGGTCCAGATGGCCTGCCTACCCCTGGCTCCCAGCACTGAGGTTGGGCAGGTCCAGAAAGATAGTTCCAATGTCCCCGTGCCATTCCTGTTGGAGGGCAGTGGTCCTGGTGGGAGGAGCAAGTACGTGGTGTGGCTGATGGCTCAGGAGCTAGCCTCGGTTCCCAGCAGAAACCAGAAACCAGAAACCAGGAGCCAGGATCGTGTGGAGCTCTACTTTCATTAATGATACAGCTTCAAAGGCTTTCTGGAGTAGCAGACATTGTCCTTCAGGAGTGGTGATCCCACAGCCATGCCCACCTTGTTCCAACGGTGGCCTTTGTTGTAGATGGGCTTGACAGACCTGGGAGCCCAGCGTGTCAGGTAGCTGTGGAGAGGAACACAAGGCTGCTGTGAGCACTGGGGACGTGCTGGGCCAGGCCTCAGGAGCCACACCACCCCTTTCACCAGTTTTCCTCTCTGGAAGGGCAGGGGATTTTCCTGGGAGAAACTGCTGAGTGTCTAAACAGATGGGCTAGGCTCTTGCTGCTGTAAGTGTGTGTGGCCAGGGTCAGGCAGCCCAGGCCTGGCTCCCTTGATCTTTATGAGTTGTGTTCATGCATGCTGTGGGGAAAAGGCGGAGAAAGACTGCTTGGAGAGCAGATCACTCCTGTCTGGCTTGAGCCTAGGGACAGGAGAGTGATGTAAGGGCCTGGAGAAACCCTGCACTCTTTCCCACTTGGCTCATTCTGTCACCCCAGCCTCCAGGGAACTCCTCAGGGCACCTCAACTGGTGCAGGACCCCGCCTCTCACCCAGCCCCTGATGGGAAGCAAGGGATGAGCTCCCTGGGTGCAGCCCCAGCGCGGCAGGTTCCTGTAAGTAGGAGGGGGTGGGGAAAGATGGCGGCCACCCATGGTCCTCTGGCCTCCTTTGGGGATGGCCTGGGCCCTGATAGTTCCTGGAAAAGTGGCTCATAGCACCAAGATTCGGGTTTACTTGGTTCAGAATGAAACCTGGATCCTGTCCAGAAAGGCCCATCCTTCATTCTCAAAGTTCAGCCACAAAGGCCAGGAGTCCTCCCTTGCTTCATACATGCTAAGTTGATGCTTGCCCTGGCCGCCTCTAGAGACCCTCAAGTAAAGCTTCTTAATTTAAAAACTAGTATCCCTGACAGAAAAATTTTCTCTTGCTTTTGGCTGAAAATTTTTAGATGAAAAAAGGATTGCTGATTCATGCATTTCCCCCATGCTTCTCTGGACCTTGGTCTTTGGCTGTCAGCCTTATGCAGAGGGGAAATTGCAGGAGGTCTGGCTTCTACCCCATGTGTACTGGGCACAGGAGGCAGGCCCTTCCCACATAAACTGGAGACATTAACACCACACTGGGATGCTGAATGTGGAGGGGCTGCTGTATCTGTGGTAAGTTGTTTGGATCAACAGGTGAGTCCAGGACAGAGTCCCCCCCTAGTCCTGAGAGTGGAAGGTGAAGACACAGTTTGGGAGCCTGGGACTCAGGGATTCCAGAAGACCCCAGCTGACCAGATTCTCCAGAGCTACCTCCTCAGCTGTCCTTCAGCTAGTCTTAGATCTGATATTTGTGGTACACAGTGTCCAGCTGGCAGGGGAGGGCTAGGTGGCCTCCGGTCAGCTTTCTGGGAACACCTTGGCTCTAGGAATTCAGCCTTTCTCTTTTTTTTTTTTGTCTTTTTGAGACAGGGTCTCCCTGTAGCCCCAGCTGGCCTGGAACTCACTATGGAGACCAGGCTGGCCTTGAACTTACAGAGATCCACCTGCCTCTGCCTCCCAAGTGCTGGGACTACAGGTGTGTACCACCACGCCCAGCTAATTCAGGCTTTCTCTTAAACCAACCTTCTACCTCTCCTGAAAGGGAGGTCTGGCCCTCTCCTGATGTGTCCTAAGCATAGGAAAGAGAGAAAGAGGGCAGGCCTTCCTGGGCCTGGTGGAGATGTCAATGCTGTACCAGGGTGCTGAGGAGACCTGTGAATACAGAGGGATGCAGTATCCAGAACCATGCATGCATGGGTGCTCAGGGACCCCTGGGTGCAGAGTCCTTTGCAAGGGAATCAACTGCTTCCTGAGCCAGGACTCCCCCTCCCCCAGTGTGGCCTTCTGCAATCCAAAAGCCCCCACACATCATCAATCCTGTGTCACACTAAAGGACACCGGATGTAAGGGAGGGAGCCTGGCCTAGCTTCAAAGGCCTGAGGGCAGGATGGATTGTGTCCTCAGGCCTGCTGCTGCCTCTTAAAAAGCCAGGAGGTGGGGTGGGCTCAATCCCCAAATAGACCAGAGCACAGAGAAGAGACATAGGAAGGGGTTACCATGCCCTGCATCTCAGGGATGTTGGCAGATGGCCCAACTCTGGCCCTGCCTCCAGGGCTGGGAGAGGCAAGGTACAAGGGGGCAAACCCATGTTCCCACATCTCACCCCCTCTGCCTAGCAACCTCATCTCCCAACCTCCACCCTGGGTTCTGGTAGGGATCAGCACTGGAGGTCTGTGGGGGCTGAGAAGTCCTGCTTTGCTTCAGGTCCTGTCAGTTCCCTGCAGAGCATCCATCTTCCTCACTCTGGTCTGGGAACCACCAGCTACACTGGAGGGAGGAGGCACTGGTGGGGAGCATAGCAACCACACTATCAGTCTTACAGGCCCAGTGCTACTCTGAACAGGCAGATATTGAAGGTCTAAGAGCATGCAAGGGTAGCATCAGAGTCAGGGAGAGGAACCTGCAACAGGGCAGTTGCCCGTCAGATGAGAATCTGCTCCTACTCTAGAGGGGGCCACCCTGCTGAGACTGGAGGGTTGATGTGACTGAAGGCTCTGGGCTGCCTTTCCTCTCTTCCTCAGGACCTCTCAGGATGGACATGAGGCTGTGTAGGTTGTTAACTACCCAACTCTAGGGAACACTAGTTGAGACTGAGTCTCTATGCACACTGCCCTGAGGTGGTGGTGCAGTGTACAGCTGCTTATAGTGGCACTATCCCAGAGAGTCTAACTTGCTCTGCTCTCTAATAATCCCAGTGCTGGAAAGAGCTGGGACACTGAAAGTTTGTAGAAATGCTCTCACATCCCTATAGCAACTCAGTATGATGTCATAAGTAGGGATTAGCACATTTTAAAGCTCAATCAGCAGGCCTCCTTACAACCTCCTGGCCCTTGTATCAAGGCAGGAAAGAGGAAGACAGACTGGGGCCAGGAAGGGAGGTGGTAGACTGCATACAGTGCAGCCATGGCGGGAAGGCTGGAAGTGTGCTTGAGCTGGTAGGAAAGCAGCAGACCTAGCCAAGGTGCACTCCAGCTCTCCCGTGCTGCTGTGACCCGTGGGGAAGGCTCCCCGAGAATTCAGCAAGAACCACGGGGCCCAGAGAGCTCAGGTCATTCACACTCATCTTTGCTTACCGGTTGAGCTTGGGCTTGCTCTTTGGTACATATCCCTCTGGAAGCCTCGGCCTGTGATTTGGGAACAGACCTGAGTGGAAGGAAGGAATGTAAGAGGTGGTCTCCACAGCTCAAGAGGCAGTCAGGGGGAAAGCCCATGGGAGTAGGGGGCTGTGGGGGTGAGTACAATCTGCACTGCCTCACCACTCTCTTCCAGCTGTAGCAGCTGGTTAGGAGGAGGTGCCTGCAGTCCCCAGCCTGAAAAGCCCTGGGGACATTCTACCTGCTCGGTGGGCCATCTTCACACATTCCTCTATCTTGCGGTGTTCTTCCTGGCAAAGACCTGTGACACTCCGGGGCAGCATGCCTCCGTGAGGCCGGATGAACTGACTGAGCAGCAGCACATCCTATAGGAAAACCAGAAACAGGAGTGTGGGTTAGCTGGTTTGCTTGTGATGTTGGGAACCAGGGCTGTGGGATGTGCAGGGCTCCCAGCACTCCAAGGGGCTGATGTGTTTCAGGAGCCTACCTAAATCACTCCCTCAACAAGAGCTCTGCACAATCTTTTCTCCAACAAAGGTCACTCCCAACTTGTAGGACTTCTGTACCCTGAGGCCAACCCTGTGAGTTCCCCAAACCTCCTGAGCACTGCCTGATAGACTAGGTGGGACCAGAAGCTCCAGGGAGCACATCTTTCTTTTTTTCGGTCTTTTTGAGACAGGGTCTCCCTGTAGCCCCAGGTGGCCTGAATTCACTATGGAGATCAGGCTGGCCTCGAAATCACAGAGATCCACCTGCCTCTGCCTCCTGAGCGTTGGGATTAAAGGTGTGTGCCACCATGCCCGGCGAGAGCACATCTTTTATGAGCATGCAGTGCCTTTCCTGGTGGCAAAATGCTTGCTGGTCATTTTCCACTGGTGGGTGGGGCATGTAGGTTATTTTCACAAGAGGGAAAGCCTGTTCCATCTCTGCCCCCTGTTCCATCTCTGCCCCCAGAACCTAGATGGCACAGGCCAGGTACATGCCAACAACCCCCCCACCCGTTCCCACTCAGGTGCTGGGCAGGCACCTGAGCTGAGGAGGAGGGACCCAGGCTGGGGAACTCATCAACATTTCTAAGTCTACTAGTTAACTAGACAGAAATGGATTCTCGGGCTTCCTGGGACATTGCATGCCCAACAGGCTGCTTGGGATAAGCCTAGCAAAAAGGACAAACTGACAAGAAACCCTTTCCCGAATGGTCCCGTCATGGATGGCTGAAGGGGTTAAGTAACATTTTGCCCCTTACCAGGGCCCACATACCAACTTGTTGGCCTGGCAGGCGCCTCACTGTGTAACCACAGATTTGTTTTAATCACGGGATAGTTCCTGAGGGATCCAGGCCCCGAACTCTCACCCCTGTACTCTTCAGAGAAAGCCTTGGATTGGATTAATCCAGGGCTAACTAACATGCTGGGCTAGCAGCCTCGGGACTCTCCTTGCAGGCTGCCAAGCAAATCAACAGTTTCATGCAGCTTGGGCCAACAGTGCTCCAAGTGGAAAGGGGAAAAAGGAAAAACAACTTTGGCCTTTACCTCAGAGGGGATTAGATTTCTTCTCTTGGAAAAACAGAGCCAAATCTATTTCCTGGAAATGGCTAGTAGGAGGGTACCCCTTGGTGGTGGGGCAGGTATGGGTTTTGCCCCCATCTGAAGCTGGGATTCTGAGTATGCCTGTATTTTCACTGACATCAATGACAGGAAACTCTGAGCATGGCTTCGGACTGCACTCTACCATCCCAGGTACCCATGTATGCAGCCCCGGGGGCCTGGGGGTGGATGGAAACCAAGGTTCCCAGTCCAGGAGATTAGTTGGGTCATTCTGTTCAGATCTCATGGACATGTGGCCTCTTCCTGCTCTTATCACCTGACCAGGATCTCTGCCCTTAGTCATCCTATGCCTCAAAGGGGAACTGGGACAACTCACAGGTCAAACTGGCCCAGAGCAGGAATCACCTGAAATCCCAAAACAGAGTTCTTCATGCCACCATTGAGAGCTCTGAAGAACAAGTGTGAATGATCCCAGGGCTGGCTCTAGCCTTGCTACAGAGCAGAAGTACAACATGAGCTCTGCTTGGCTTCTGGAATTTGGATTCCAGCTCTGACATTGTGGCTGGGAGATCTGAGGCAAATTTTAACTGCCTTAGGTTTCCTCACTGCAACAAAGGCGAAGTCCTTACTTCATGGGGTTAGTGTGCAACTATGTAAGTTAAAAACACATGAGAGCTCACAACAGGGGCTAGCAAAGCAGGCCCTAGGCTCACTATGCTGCCTGTTGTGGGTGCTGTTCACTGTCATCTCCTTGCCCGGAAGCAGCTGCTCTGGATGAGCTGGAGCAATCAGGTGTGTATGGAGCTCCAGTATGAAAAGAGAACCCTATCTGTATGCAGATCACACTGGGAACTTCAAACTACCTCATTATGAGGAGAGCCAAGCCCAGACCTCATTCCATCCTCATGAGAATTACTCCTGGCATTCTGAACTAGGCCACAACCTCAACCAGTGACTCTGCCCTGTAGCCCATGAGAACTTTAAAAACACCAGTCCCAGCCGGGGTATGGTGGCGCACGCCTTTAATCCCAGCACTTGGGAGGCAGAGGCAGGTAATCTCTGTGAGTTCAAGGCCAGCTGGGGCTACAGGGAGACCCTGTCTCAAAAAGACCCCCCCCCCAAAAAAAAAACCCCCAAACAAAAAAAAACACCAGTCCCAGTCCTGTAGGCCAAGTATGGGTCTGAGGTTGAGCTGGAGGGTCAATTATTTTAAAAGACTGATTTTATAAGTGTTTTGTCTGCATGTACGTGTGTGTACCAAATGTGTGCCTGGTGCCCATGGAGGCCAGAAGAGGGTACTGGATCCTCTGAAACTGGAGTTACAGGCAGTTGTGAACTGCCATATAGACACTGTGAACAGAATCCAGGTCCTCTGCAAGAGCAGTCAGTGATCTTAAACACTGAGCCATCTCTCCAGTCCCAGATTTGTGTTGTTCATTTTATTTATCAATTCATACAAAATATCCCAGATCAATGCCTTTAATCATCCTCTTCATGTCAGTCAATCTGGAGGTAATATAATTCATAACTCCTTTTGCTGTTAATTGACTACATGTAACCAATCATATGGATGATTTCTCTTTAAATATTTTGGTGAGATTTCAAATACCTTTTGGAAAAAAGGTACCTGGGAAGTTACAGTAATCCTGCTCTTGCCTCTGTTGACCCCTCCATCAAAGTTCACTTTGATATTCTCCTGGAGAGCTGCTCAAAATTGGCTTCCATGACTCCATCTTCTATAGGGTGGTTGCAGTCAAGGGTGACCTTCAAAACCTGCTTCTTTTTTTGCTCCCCTTTGCCACAAGCTTTTTCACGGGTGCAAAGGCAGCTGCAAAGGCCCAGCTCCATATTCCTTAGAGCTCCTTAGGTGATTCTACCATGCAGCCAGAGTTGATAGCCAGTCACTACATGCTCAAGGTAATAGGAATCTGACCCCAGCAAATACAGGGTGAGGGTCTCAACACCCAGACTCACCTCATAGTTATATCTGTGCTTCAGGTTCCAACGGCAGATGGGGCACTGGCCTGATGGGTTAGGGGGATCTGGAGTTGCCTTGGGAGTTCCTGTCATTCGGCCTTCGATCTAAGAGTCAGAGGAAAAAAACAGTGTGAGAGCCATAGCCAGGCATGCAGGCCTTTCACTGTGAGCAAGTGCTGTATGATGAGAATGCCAGTCAAACTTTATTTCTGGAGGTCTCACGGCAGCAATTAATAGGCTGCTTGCACTGTGGAGATATTCTGTAGTTGCTACATGTTGGGTCTTTACGTGGCCATTGGGATGTGGAAACAATCTGAACACAGGTGACTAGCCAGATGAGTGATGCATGGCTATGATCTCAGTAATGAGAAGCTGAGGCAGGAAAATTATAAGTTGAAGGCTAAAGTGTACTACATAGTAAGTTCCAATCCAACCAAGGCTTTCAAAACTAGACAGAACAAGAACAACACAGGCACAGACACACAAACTGCTAACTATAGGGAAGCGTTTGCTGTAGAAGCTGAATGCTATCTTTCCCAACAACCCACAAGAAAACACCTGAATACCAGGCTTCTTTCTGACATCGGGAAAGGTAATACATGCATGTGGCAAATGGTTCCAACAGGTCTTGGAGAGGTGACTCAGCAGTTAAGAGAACTGGTTGCTCTTGCATAGGACCTAGGTTCAGTTCCCAGCATGCATGGCACCCACACTGGGCAGCTTCATCCACCTATAACTCCAGTTCCAGGGGATCTGACACCCTCTTCTGGGCTCTGTGGGCATGCGCACACACACATAGTGCACATACAAGGAGGTTCACACACAAACATAAAGTTTTTTAAAAAGTTACAAATGAGGGGCTGGAGAGTTGGCTCAGCAGTTAAGAGCACTGACTGCTCTTGCAGAGGACCTGGGTTCAATTCCCAGCACCCACATGACGGCTACGAACCATCCTTAACTCCAGCTCCAGGGGAATCTGAAGCCCTCTTCTGACCTCTGTGGCACTGCACAGACATGGGTGCACTCACATACATGCAAGCAATATACCTGTATACATAAAATATAAATATTAAAAAAAAAAGTTACAAATGGGCTAGAGACTCAGCGGTTAATAGCACTGACTGCTCTTGCAGAAGACCCAGGTTTGATTCCCAGCACCTACATGGTGACTACGAATCGTCCTTAACTCCAGTTCCAGGGGAATCTGACACCCTCTTCTGACCTCTGCGGCATTGATTGACGGGTACACTCACATACATGCAGGCAATACACTCATACACATAAAATTAAAAAAAAATATTAAAAAAAAGTTACAGAGCTGGAGAGAGAGCTCAGCGGTTAAGAACACTGGCTATTCTTGCAGAAGACCCGGGTTCAGATCCCAGCACCCACATGGCAGCTACAACTGTCCATAACTAACTCCAGTTCCAGGGGATCCAACAGCCTCTTCTGTCCTCTGCAGGCATTGCATGACACAGGTGCACTTACCTACATGCAGGCAATACACACATACACATTAAAATTGCAGTGACCTCCTGCCTCTGCCTATTATCATCTTGATTTTATCATCTTGGATGCCACCTATCAAACCCTGTGGAGGCCACATGTGACATGACCTTTCCATCATGGCTGTATCCTGTGACACAGCCTTGGAATGGCTAAGTGTATTAAAGCAACAATGTGGGAGTGAGCTCTGATTGCAAGGGGGCTTAGAAGGCCTTTCTGAGGCTGAGCCTTTTAGAGCTTGGCTGGGACAGATTTGAGAGGTATTGGGACAGAAGCAACACTGTCCCCTGGGTGGGACTGGCCAGAGGGAAAGGGGCCGAAAGTTGTGCTAAGTTATGCCAGGCACCACTACCCACCTTTCTGCCATGGCAACCACAACTATGTCAGAGAGAAGCCGTGGGCTAGAGAAAATCTGTGGGTACACAGGAGGCCTTGGGAGGGAGACTTGTGGGCCCAGGAGAGAGCTAATGTTTATTGGTTCCCTGTTATAGCCTGGCTCTGTGCTAAGAATGGTTTACATACACCACTTCATTTAACTCCAACTTAGTGCAGCAGGCACCGGATCTCATTTCTTTCTTTTTTTCTAAGAGTGAACTATATTGATTTATTGGCATCATCAATTTATGAACAAGACATCATTTTTTCTTCATGAAGCAAGGCTGATTGCGATCTGCCAAAGCAGGTGTCCATATCTTCACTGTCAGGATGCAGCACTGCAAGCCTCTGGGGTCAGTTATCCCGTTTTCACCTTCACAAATTTTATGCTGCTGCTGGAAGACTTCTCGGCATTTGTTTTGAATTCTATTTTCAGGGCATCCCTCACTGCCTTTGCACAGATGTGGGAGAACTGCATGTAGCTGAGGCTGGCCTGCTGCCAGTAGGCCACCATGGTGTCTGCAGCCGGCCCACCGGATCTCATTTCAGAAGGGAGAGTAACACCCACAGCCAGTCATAGCAGTGCCTTTCCAGGCATGGGTTCTCTGTTCCCTCTCCAAATAGAAGTTCTATGCCTCACATGAAAAACCGTCTTTACACTCAAAAGTTGGTTGTCTTTTGAGGACTATGGGATAATCTAGGCCCCATGAGCTGGGCAGCAAGCCTTCAAGTCTGAGTTTCTAATATTTTCTCAGACATTGTCACTGGTGGGGAACTGGTTAGTGGAGAAGGAGTCTGACAATGGGAGATGACATCCAAGCACGGGCTGCCAGAGTCTTCTGGAAATAATCTGGGGGAATCAGTCACCAGAAGAGTAATGGACATTCTAAAGAGCAGGAAAGAAGGCCAACCCAGGGCAGCAGGAACATTAGCAGGAGATTTGGGGGTGTGGGGGGTGGGGAATGACACGGGACTGAGTACCTAGTAAGCAGAAATAAGATGCCATTTCAAAAGTCTGAAAAGCTCTTTGCTCCAGTTTATAGGTGAATACTACTTTCAGCTTCTTGCTGTAGGAGACATGATTTCAACCTAGGTAGTCCAGGGTTATCTTGAGCTCAATAAGGAGCTGAGGATGGCCCTGAACTCCTGATCCTCCTTCCTCTGTCCCCTGAGTACTAGGACTCCAGGTATGTGCCATCAGGCTCAGGTTACTTCCGATTTTAATCACAGAACTAGAGAGGTGCCCTAAGGGCATGGAGTTCCCTAAAGAGTTAGAACTGCGTTGAGGCTAAGCAGTGAAAAGGCTGAGCAAATGTTCTGGGGAAGACTAAAAGGATTCGTCTGGAGGATAAAACTGCCTTTCGGAGGACTATGCTTGGCTGACTGCCAGAAAGATTAAGTCCTTGGTTGACATGGAAGTTCCAGAGGCTTCTGGGAGCTCAGTGAAGTGGCTGAGAACTTCTTGGAGGCAGGGAAGACTGTGTGAAAACAAGGTTGTCTTTTAAGGATTATGAGATAATCTAGGCCCCATGACTGACTCCCCCAGGGAGGTGAGATGAGCCCAGCAAGGGAGAGGGGGGTGAGCAGGCAGATGAAGACTTGTTCCAGCCTTCTTACCAAGACACATGCCAAGGTGCCAGCTAGTACGTTAGGGTCTAGAAACTGTCACCTCGTAAATGCATCACTCCAGGGCACTTAGTCATTCCAGGCAGAAAAAGAACCGAAGTCCAGGCCTCTGGCTCTGGGCCAACTTACGTGGGCTCCTTAGCTCTGCAACACTGCCTTAGTTTCCCTTTTGGGAAACTGATTTATCACCTGCCAAAGAACATATTAGCAAAGGTCTCTGAGACTTTGTCATACAAAAGGTTACTTTAATCAAATAACAGATACCTCAGCCGAGGCACAGCGACTGTTCCTGATTAACTGCACTATGGCATATGGCCTGAAAAATAGTGGACTTCAGGATTTATGGTCACCAAGGGAGCAGATCCTGGAGCCAGAAGTCCAGATTGGGCCTCCCTCCTTCCCTCAGAGGAGGCGAGTAGTCAGAGGAGAGTAGTCAGGAGGCTCCGTGTGTTAAGGAGGTTCTAAGTGGCCAACGCGATGATACTTACTATAGTTGTCTTCCCTTCTTGGATCTCTACCACTACAGAGATAAAGGGAAAAAATTAGGTCAGCCATTTAATAAGGAACAGGGAGTTTCAAATAACAGCTCAAATTCTACACAGGCAAAAGTAAGGAGCCTTCAGCCTGCACTCTCCCACGGTCCCCGCCTGGGACACAAAGTGTGCAGGGTTCAATCCCAAGTGCCAAGGCTCTATGCCCTGAAGGCTGGCTGCAGCCAAGCTTGGGGTACTCAGGCAGCAGCATCAATCTGGGACTAGGGGCTCCATGTTGGCTGCCCTACTGTGGCAATGGTGACCTGGCAGCTGGCAAGACAGCGGCATGGAACAGACTTCCAGGAGTACCTATTGCATACGTCCCTTCACAAAGCCAATCAGCCAAAAGTAGTTTCTGACTTTGAAGGGTTCACAACCTGAAATGCAGCATTGGACTAACAGTGTTCCAATGGTGGCTTCTCAGTGAGACAAGTTCACTCCCAAAATGTATCCTGAGCTGGGTTCTGTTCTCTGTACCAGAGAAAGCTGATGAGAGAGGTGGGGAATAAGGTGCAGATGGTGGTAGGAACAGCAGCACTTCAGGGAGCACTACCATACCTCACTGAGAGCAACCCCTCAGCCCAGGCCTGCTGAGGTCTGAGGCAGGCAGAAGAGAAGCGGAAGTGAGCAGATCAGCTGCACACATCTGTCAGGCTGCACACATTTCCCACCTCACCTAACCAGGATGCTGAATGACAACTGCTATTGTAATTAAAAGAAGCAGCAAGCTGTGAGGTCACGTACAGCAACTGTTCTTGGAGAGCCTCCCGAGCTCCCGGCTTCTTAAGCAAGAGCCACAGCTGTTAGCAAGGGAACTGGTACACAGCAAAGGCTCAATAAATGCTGTCAAGAGAGTGAAATAATTGTCACCGTCCCCTTGTAACTGTTAACTGCTACAAGAGAAAGCTTGGGCTCACATAGTTGCTTGCAATCTGTCTCTTAAAATACTAAAACCCTATTTAAACAGTAGCGTGCCTATCACAGTTTAGTTTTACTTAGTTCTGGTCAAAGTAAGAAGTAATGTAGATTAGAAAAGAGCCCAAGGTCCTAACTTTGACAAAGTTAAGTGGGAGCTAAGGAACTCTCCCTAGAAGTATCCATCAGCATGTACATGACTGTCTGTGGGTTGCAGGAGGCTCACAGCCAGCTGTGTGCATATGTGTTAGAGACCTGGTTACCCTCTGTGGTGGGAATGGGTGCTTTCTGTTTCTTCTTTTTGTCTATCATATTCTCTAAACATATACTGCTTTTGCAAAACCATAAACAATAAAAAGAGAAAGGACCGTCTAAGGAAAAAAGGCAATTCTAAACCAGCCAGAGCCCATGTAAGCATCTGTGATCACTGAGCTCTGTGACCGACATCTAATTGGACACAGACTGCCTGGAATTGCTCCTCGTTTGTTTTCTGGGCAAACCATTCATAAAGACTCATTATTCCCAAACTACCAACCTGAGAGTCCCTCAATGTCCAGTTCCAGACACACAAAGGCAAACAATGACCAGAAGAGCCCAGGGGCTTTCTCCAGAGAACACTGTAGCCACTAATGAAGTCAAAGAAAAAATTAGGTTCCTCCATGTAAAAGAAACTGCGTCACCTCACACACGGATCTACTTGTTCTGAACAGAGACCAACCCAGGAACGGGATGTGGGTGAGACTCAACCTGGTCGCTGGCCTGGAAGCCAGCACAGCTGCAGAGGGAAGGTCACTGTGATGTGTCCATTGCAGAATGGCCCACCCAGCAGGGTAGAAAAGAGCAGAAGGTGGCTGTATATCCAGCCCAGAGGGGGCCCCAAACACCCCAGAAACTTAAAACTCAAATCGAGGGAGGGCCTGAGGGCCACTAAATGGGAGCAACAGGTAGGGGGTGGGGGGTATCTGAGAATATCTCAGGAAACAAAAGCAGAGACACATTCTAGTGCCACTGGAGTCAGCATGGGGACAATAGCCTGAAACACAAAGAGGATAAACATGTGGTTCCCTTCTTGGTGCAGGCACTTGGGTCCTAACCATGAGGTAAACAAGTCTAACAAAATACACATCACTCTCGGCAAAGACCCAAACCCTGAAGTCATCCCACTGGCCCCTGGAAAAGAGATCAAAGCCCATGGCAAGCTCCACTGTTCACAAGCTCTCCCACAGCAACTCTGAGCCAATGGATGTCATTACTAGAAGCCAATGGGTAAAACAATAGGCAGATGCTTATCTCAGAGAGACAATCTGTCAAACCAGAGGAATGACCCGAGAACTCACACAAGACAGAGATTGATCAGGGTGGTGTGTTAGTGCAGGGGGAGAAGGCCCGGCTGGAGCCTGCAGAGGCCCTCAGTAGATTTGAAGTCTCTGGAAAGAGGAGATAGGAATCAAAATAGTATTGATTTTCAGTGTGCATAGAAAAACATGGCAAAACCAAACAAAACCTGAGACCCATTTTGTCCCTGGCCTCTTCTCCATTCAGCAGAAGTGGGGGTGGTAAAGATAAGCTGCTCTAAGAGATTTAGGCACTAACGGAAAACTTGTTTAGGAAAAAATGAAATCACCCCTGTGTTCTGAGATAGGGCAGCATGAAGTAAGCTATGGAAGAGATGAAGCTGTTTTCTAAAGGGAGCTAAAGGCAAAACCTCTTACAATAGGCACTCCTCACACACATGAAATAATCTGTCCCAAATGAAGCAACATTCACTGAACACGAGGAAGGGGTAGCCTGGCTCTACCTCCTGGGCAGTGTTACAACAGAATACGAAGGCACAGTCTTTGCCCTGGAGGAGGAAAGGGAAGTAAGTATGGGAACTTTTCACCATAATAAAGTCCATGCCTCATAAAGAGGTCCTCTGAGTACTTCAGTAAATACTGGCCTAGGATGGAGTCCAAGATAACTGAATTATAACAGCCTGGAGTGAGCAGCACTGTGTGGAGATGGCAATGAACGCAGAAGACCTTGATGGACACATAAACACAGAGGCAAAGAACCGTGGCTACATAAAGACCCAATTGTTTAGCAGAGGAAGTGAGGGAGGATGAATGATGGATAAGGGCAGGGTACGGCTGCAGTTAGTGGCCAAAGAAACCAAGGTGCCAAGGATCTGCAGACACTAAGATGGAAGCAGAGAACAGAGGAAAGGCCGGGAGGCAACCCTATGTCTCACGTAGGGTCAGCGAGAAAGCAGGCCTGTGCTTCTGGTCACTCTTCTCAGGCATGGTCTCCTTCAGTTCACCTTTAACTCTTTTATTCAACTTTCTGGTCTTCTCGCTGCCTGCTGGTTTCTCTTCCCTGAACTCCTGAGGGAATGTTCCTCTGTCCTGTGCTTCAGAATGAGTCTTACTGCTGCCCAAGTGTTCTTCCCATTAGCAGGGCACTCAGGATTATCCCTATGTCCCTCAAATTCTTTAGAGCCCCCAACTTACTCTTCTCCAAGCTTTTAGCTATAGAATTGCCCACTGTTATCAGATACTTCCTTGCCCCCAAAGCTATGTCCTCTTAGCTAACTGAAAGATGAAATAAATTCCCTTTGGCCTTCCCTCGTTTCAATATTCTAATTTAAGAGTATGATTTTTAACTATTCATGGTTTCTTGTTGTAAAGGTAGTTCCTTCCTAAGGGCTCTAAGACAGGAATAAGGTCTAACACAATCATTAAATCTGATATCACTGATGAAACCACTAGATGGTCTTTGGCAAGTTAAGATGTAAGAGCTTTCAGCAAAGGAAGGAAAAAAGAAGTTCTGCCATTAAGTACCAAGGTTATGTTATGATGGCGAGGGGAGAGTGCATGCTTGCTCTAATTCCTTTTTGGTCTTTTTGAGGCAGGGTCTCCCTGTAGTCCCAATTGGCCTGGAACTCACTATGTAGACCAGGCTGGCCTTGATTTTATAGAGATTTGCCTGCCTCCTGAGTGCTGGGATTACAGGTGTGCATCACGCCCAGCTCCAGCTCTACTTTCAATTCTACTATTTACAGCTGATGTTAGGAAAGATATTGAATCTTTTAGAATTGGATTTCCTTATCTATCAAAATAATGACAGCTAATATACACCTTTAAAGGACATTAAATAAGTGTGGAAAACCTACCACATTACTTGGAGCAGGCACTTAGTAAAGCACAGTTTCCTTACTTGTCCCAACCACCTCCAGTCTTGCTTATCCCATAATCCTCTAACTCTCATTTTGGGTTTTGTATGTACAGCTATCAAACTTTAGACCAGGTTGCCTCATCAGCAGGACTGATATTTTGGGCCAGATGATTCTTTGTTGTGGGGAGTGGTCATATGTGTTGTAAGATGTTTAACAGTATCCCTACTCTCTCTACAGAAGATACCAGTAGCACCAGCTGTGATACCAAATATGTTTCTAGACATTGCCAAAATATTTCCAGGGGTGGAGTGTCAAGGAGAAGAGTGGATGACCATCCCTGACTGAGAAACAATGCAGCAGACCAAAAAATAACACTGGGCCTCGGTCCTCATGAAGTCTTTTTCTTTATTCCTTTCGGTCCCCACAAAGCACTGCTATAATTACATAGTTCCATCTTTGGAAAGTAAGAAACTTGAACATTTTCAGCAAAAGATTCATAGATTCAGTTTGTTCTCTATAACTTTCAATTTAAAAAAATTTATTATTTTTATTTTATGTGTATGCATGTATGTATAGGCAAGTACACCCGTGTCGTGCAATGCCTGCGGAGGACAGAAGAGGCTGTCGGATTCCCTGGAACTGGAATTATGGACAGTTGTTAGCTGTCATGTGGGTGCTGGGATTCGAACCCCGGTCTTCTGCAAGAACAGTTAGTGTTCTTAACCACTGAGCCATCTCTCCAGCCCCCCACAACTTTCATTTCTCTATGTACAATACTAGTTGAGTGTCAAATATACCAGCTAGACTAATGAAAATCAGCTATATATATAAGCCTTATCAGTAGACAGAACAACAGAAGATTCATCTAAAGGCTTAGAGACAGGTGATTCCAAAGAACACAGAATATGAGAGTTTGTGCTTTCATGTAAAAGCACATCAGGGGCTGGAGGGATGGCTCAGTGGTTAAGAGCACTGGCTGCTCTTGCAGAAGACCCAGGTTTGGTTCCGAATATCCATGTGGTGGCTAATAACTGTCAGTAACTCCAGTTCCTGACAGGGACCCAACACCTTTCTCTGACCTCTGCAGGCATCGTATGCACCTACATACATGCAAGCAAAAAACTCATACACATTAAAAAAAAAAAAAAAAATCAAAAAAAAAATTTTTTTTTAAAGTACATCAATTCAACATTCAGCTGACAATGATTGACAGGAGAGCTACCACCCTAAGTATACAGAACAGGACTCACTCCAAAGACCAATTGGATTTTGCAGTTCATTACTTCACAAATTCTCCGGCTTAAAAAAATTCCTTGCTGGATGTGATGGTGCTTGCCTGTGATCCCAGCACCTGGGAGGCAGAGGTACTGCCACACATTTGAGGCTAACTTGATATACCTAGCAAGTCCCAGGCCAGCCAAGGCTACATAGCAAAACCTTGTCTCATTCAAAAATTTAAGTCTAATCTTGAATATTCCTGTCTTAAAGTAAGCATGCAAAAAACAAATCTTGATTTTTCTTCTAGAAACTTAGCAAACAACAGTTTCCACTCTGGTAAATGTCATAAAGGATATGGAATTTGGAGACAGAAGTATCTGACACTTGGAAGACAAAAGTGTTATGAGCATTAGCCAAATTTTACAGCATGAGATCATAGACCCTATCTAAATCCATTCTGTCATTAGCATGATCTCTTTACTAATGACTAGGTCTGACTCTACCAAGGCAGTATCTGGACTTTTTATTTCCTAGCAATTGTTCCAGCTTTCTATTATGGCTGATTTCTCAAGTATATCTGCTGTTAACCAGATTCCTTGTCTGCCACTCTATTGAAACTGTTCTTTTAAGTTGGATATAGTGGCTTAGGCTGCAATCCCATCACTTGGGAGGTTATGGCTTTTTCTTAGCTCCAATGACTCTTCTTTTTGGATTCTTCTGCTCTCTCTGACAATATGATCACTCTTTTTCTCTGGTTACTTCTCAGCTTTAACTGATACTCACTGGTTGGCCAACACTGTGCTGGACTCTGAAAAACAAACACTACATAATTTCTTTAGCACATCACATGTCCTTTTCTGCTTCCCACAGTACACAAAGGAAGGCTATAACCTCCTGAAAGATCTCTTAAGCCTGCCAGAGTCCATCCTTTTAGGAGCCTGTTCAAGAAACACTCCCTTTATGAAAACTTCCAACTGGCTTTGCTATTTCCAGTAACAGAATCTTCCTGTACTTTCTCATGCAAATGGATAACCTGCATTTATCAGGGGCGTACACATATTAATTCATTAGAACCTAAGCTTCTCAGAAAAGCTTTCTCCCTTCACAATCTCGTCACAGCTTGAAGCATGGCAACTTGGACTTCAGTAACCTCTCAGTTAATGCTAGAATCAGGTTACTTTTCCAGACTTAACAAAGTGCAGAACCAACATTTAGACTTCCCTCGATCTTAAATGTTCAATAGCCTTTGCACCTCGGCTGCCACCCCTCAGGGAGATTAGTAACTTGGGCAGAAACACCAACCACGTTCAGAGAAGAAACTGGAAAGGGAGGCTCTGGGGAAAGAGTATCCAGATGTTCTTCCTTCACAGTTCCGAGAGGCTTTAACCAAGCAGGAGATTCAGACAACATGGGAAGAGACAATTCGCATTCGACCCCTTACTGAACTTTCCTGAGCCCTGAGATACGCTTCTCTTCCGTCTCTAAATAATCACTCATTTCTCTCAGGCCTCCCCTATTCACGGAGGGCAGTACGGGCCAGGAGGGCAAGCTTCAAGGTGTGGAAGGGCTTTTAAGCATCCCGGGGAGGAGAGCACCTCCGGTTTCAGAATTGCGCAGAGGAGCACGCACGGCTGGCGAAGTGTCCTCTGCCGCTCTTCTCAAAATCCTGAGGTCGCTGGAACCTGGGACTCACCTTCTCTCAACCCACGAACTGGAAGCCGTAACCAGCTGGGGCCTGTCAGGAGCCCGTGGAGCAGCCGTCCACAACCGGACACTAGCGCCCTGAGGGCCGCCATGCTGAAGACACTCCTGACCTCCAGTGCACTTCCGCTTCCGGAGAGGAGCGGGGCGTGCGCAGCCGTAGTGCGGGGAGTAGGGGCTTCAGGCGATGTTACTCCTGTCACTTCTATTTCTAGCGGCAGACGCGATTTGGTGTAAGTGTGTTCTTTGTGTGAAATCTGTGCTTTCTAAGTGTCTAGAGGAGATACTCTAGCTCCGGTCTGCCAGACTCCAGTCTTCAAAGTTACCTTTGGGAAAGTTACACACCATTACTATTTTTTAAAAGAGTTTCTTTTTCTGCTAGCCAGCTGTGGCTTTTCAGCTTTTGCGACTGAGGCTAAGCCTGTCAGGACAGATTAAAAATGGTTACAGACTCTGGCTCTGGGAATAAGAATCACCAGGCCTGGAATAGAATTAATGCCCTCCGCCTTCACCTGCTAATATTTGTGGCTTATATATAAATCTCTCCGGCCTTTGGCACAACCTGTCTCTGCGTATTCTTTGAGTACTTGGTAAGTGCTTTCTTAGGATTCACTTAAAACGTCATTCACTGTGGAAATGACCTTGACTTGCTGGATACTGGTTCACAGCAACATCCATTTTAGTGTTTGGCACAATTTCGGTCTCCTTACCAGACTGTAAGCTCCATTAAGACAGAAACACGGGGCGCTGAAAAGATTGCTCAGTGGTTAAGAGCACTGACTGTTCTTCCAGAAGACCTGGGTTTTATTCCCCAGCACCCACATGTCAGCTAACAACCATCTGTAACTCCATTCCAGATGATCTGACACCCTCTCTGGCCCCTGAAGGCATTGCATGACACGGGTGCATGCAGGCAAAACACATACACGTAAAATAAAAGTAATAATTTTTGGTCTTTTTGAGACAGGGTCTCCCTGTAGCCCCAGCTGTCCTGGAACTCCCTACGTAGATCAGGCTGGCCTTGAACTCACTGAGATCCGCCTGTCTCTGCCTCCCGAGTGCTGGGATTAAAGGCATGCGCCACCATGCCCAGCCAACATTTTTTTTTTAAACGACAGAAACACAGTTATTTTTCGTTGACGCTCATTCCTAGAGCTCTTAGCACAGTACCTGATACATAATAATAATGTAATAGATACTTGTTGAATGAATGAGTAGAACCTAGTTTATAAATAGAAAAAAAAGGTGGTAGTGGTGGCCCACACCTTTAATACAGCACTCGCGAGGCAGAGGTAGGCAGATCTCTGTGAGTTCAAGGCCAGCCTGGTCTACATAGGGAGTTCCAGGACAGCTGGGGCTACAGGGAGACCCTGTCTCAAAAAGACAAAAAAAAAATCAAAAAGAAAATATAACTGCATAATTTTTCCTGTTTCAGATTTCCTTGAGTTACCTAAGAATAGAAAATCATTCACAGCTCAATTCCCCCCTACTAGTCTCCAATATAAGCCTAAAGAGGGGTTTTCTAGTTATCTCACTCTGATTCTCTGGTGAGAAAAATTAATCAATTAAATGACACAGCAAGTTCTTGATGAAGGGGAGAGAAAGAACCCATGGTTAGTTGGTATTGTCAACCAAGTGGGTGCATCCAGGGGTTCCAACACCCTCTAAGGGCACCAAACACACACATGGTACACATAAATACATTCAGGAACTTGTGAATACACATAAAATGAAAAATAAATCTAGGCCAGGTGTATTTGCTTACAATACAGTCCAAGTGAGACAGAGGCAGGTGGGTGGATCTCTCTGATTTTAGGATCAGCCTGGTCTACATAGCCAGTTTCATGCCAGCCAGGGTTCATAGCAAGACCCTGCCACAAATAAATAAAACAAATACATATTTAAAGTATTATATTTTTAAGTTGGGCATGGTGGCACTCACCTTTAATCCCAGGACTTGGGAGGCAGAGGCAGGTGGATGCCTGTGAGATTGAGGCCAGCCTAGTTTATATAGTGAGTTCCAAGCTAGCTGGGGCTACAGGGAGACCCTGTCTCAAAACAATAAAAAACAAATCAAGATTCATTTTCTAGGCTAGCAAGGTAGCTCAGTGAGTAAAAGCACTTGCTGCACAAGCCTGATTACTTGAGTTCAATCCTCAAAAGCCATATAAAGGAGGGAGAATACTGACTTCTGAAGGCTATCTCTGACTTCCACATGTGCACATGTTTACTGGCACACACACATAATAATAATAAAGTAAAAAAATCATTTTCTCCTATAGCAGTATCTTAGTGACCTAATACCACATAAAAAAACAAACAAGAAACCCAGGTGGAAGTAGGAAGATCAGGGGGAAAAAAATCACATTTTCCCCTCACTGCATTTTAGCTGGTCTGTTTTCTGCCATCTCTATTTGATTACATTGATCTCTATTTGTCATTTATTTATTTAGACAGAATTTCACTCTAGTCCAGGCCAGCCTGGAACTATGCAGATCAGTTTGACTCAGATTTGTTTTGGTCCTCCAAGTCCTGCCCCCTAAGTGCTAGGTTACAGGTGTGTTCCACCTGTCCAACTCTTGGATGGCATTTTTAATGGCTATGTACTATTTCATTGTCTGGAAATTATTATAAGTTACTAATTAAAGACTTTTAGCTGGCTTTCAGTTCAAACTTTCTTACCTTTGTTTTGTTTCTTTGTTTGATACAGGATCTTGCTATTTAGGCAAGGCTAGCCTTAAAATCAGTATATGGGCTATACTGGCCTCAGGCTTGTGGGAATCCTACTATTTCTTGGAAACAAGACACCACGCCTGGCTTAGTTCAAACTTTCCTTCCTTCCTTCCTCTTCCTTCCTTTTCCTTCTCCTTCCTTCCTTCCTTTTCCTTCCTTTCTTTTCCTTCCTTTTCCTTTCTTTTCCATCCTTTTCCTTCCTTTTACTTCCCCTTCCTTCCTTTCTTCCTTCCTTCCCCTTCTTTCCTTTCCCTTCCTTCCTTCCTTCAGGACATTTCCTTCCTTTTTCTTTCTTTTCTTTCCTTTTCCTTCCCCTTCCTTCCTTCCTTTTCCTTCCTTCCTTCCTTTCTTTTCCTTCCTTTTTCTTTCTTTCTTTTCTTTCCTTTTCCTTCCCCTTCCTTCCTTCCTTTTCCTTCCTTCCTTCCTTCCTTTCTTTTCCTTCCTTTTTCTTTCTTTTCTTTCCTTTTCCTTCCCCTTCCTTCCTTCCTTCCTTCCTTCTTTTTCCTTCCCCTTCCTTCCTTCCTTCATTTTCCCTCTTCCTTCCTTCCTTTTCCTTCCTTTTCCTTCCCCTTCCTTCCTTCCTTTTCCTTCCTTTTCCTTCCTTCCTTCCTTCCTTTTCCTTCCTTCCTTCCTTTCTCCTTCCTTCCTTCCTTCCTCCTTCCTTCCTTTTCCTTCCTTCCTTTTCCTTCCTTCCTTTCTTCCTTTTCCTTCCTTCCTTCCTTCCTTTTCCTTCCTTCCTCCTTCCTTCCCTTTCCTTCCTTCCTTCCTTCCTTCCTTCCTTCCTTCCTTCCTTCCTTCTCCTCCTCCTGCTCCTCCTCCTCTTCCTCCTTCTCCCCCCCCCATCTTTTTGAAAAATATTTTATAGGCCAGGCATGGTGGCACACACCTTTAATCCCACTTGGGAGGCAGAGGCAGGCAGATCTCTGTGAGTTCAAGGCCAACCTGGTCTATGTAGTGAGTTCCAGGACAGCTGGGGCTACAGGGAGACCCTATCTCAAAAAGACCAAAAATTTTTTTTATTTGTTATTTTTATTTTATATGTATGGGTGTATTGCCTGCACGTATGTAAGTGTACCCATGTTGCGCAATGCCAACAGAGGTTAGAAGAGGACATCGGATCCCCTGGACCTGGAGTTACAGATGGTTGTTAGCTGTCATGTGGGTGCTGGGAATTGAACCCAGATCCTCTGCAACTTCGGCCAGTGCTCTTAACTTCTGAGCCATCTCTCCAGCCCCTCTTTCTTTTGAGACAGGATCCCACTGCATAGCCCTGGCTGGCCTGGAACTCACAGAAATCCACCTGCCTCTGCCTCTTGAGTGCTAAGATTAAAGATGTGCACCACCATGCCCAGCTCAAACTTATTTTCTAAGATCTTCCTTCTCTAAATATGATAATTCTACCCTATCAGTGAGCCTTCTATATACCACTTCTTGGGTATATGTGAATTTTTTGTTTAATGTACAATTGTGCTGTGAAATAAAAGAGGATGAGGGTCTTTGTCTGAAGAATGCAAAATGGTAGCTTCTGTTAAAAAAATGGGTCTTTTCAGGAGCCCGTGTTTCTTTTTTAAAAAAATTTATTATTTTTATTTTATGTGTGTGAGTGTTATGCCTGCATGTAGGTAAGTGCACTGTATCATGCAATGCCCTCAGAGGACAGAAGAGGCCGTCAGATCCCTGGAACCTGCATGTAGGTAAGTGCACCTGTATCATGCAATGCCCTCAGAGGACAGAAGAGGCTGTCAGATCCCCTGGAACTGGAGTTACAGACAGTTGTTAGCTGCCATTGGGTGCTGGGAATCGAACCCGGGTCTTCTGCAAGAACAGTCAGTATTCTTAGCCACTGAACCATTTCTTTAGCCTCAGGGAGTCCGTGTTTGTAGGGCTGTTGGTAATGACATTCTTATGCACAGGGGAACTATTTTCAACTATAGAGGCAATCCTGGAACTCACAGAGCATCAATGACACTGTAGACATATATATGAAAGGAATGAGGTTGGTGAACTTCTCTATATCCTGACAAAATTGTTGACTGCCTTCCCCTCCCCCCATCTTGTGAAAGAGCCTGACTCTAGCTTTCATTCCATTTCCTATGGAGACTTTTCTTCTTTTCCTCCACACCTTGTCCTATACTCACTCTCTTAATTTGGAGATAATCTAAAGATTTTTTTTTTTGAATTTTTGAGACAGAATCTCCCCATGTAGCTCCAGCCACCCTAGAACTCACTGTGTAGACCACAGACTGGCCTCAAAATAACAAATGCTGGCCTTAAAGGTATGTGCTACCATGTCTGGCTAAATATTTATCTTTTAT